GCAGAGACGCTACTGGCTCCACTAGGAAGCCTAATAGGGGCAGGGTTACGCCTTCATTAGGCCCATAGAGTTTTAGTTGAGTTTTTGAAAGGTTCCTTTTTGTGTTTTCCCCAGGTTAGAAGGGGCTAAGTGTGCGACAGCAGGGAGTGGGAGTGAGGGGTGGGCTTGTTGTTATTTGTGTATCTGGGGAATTATTTGAGCATCCACAGAAACAGCCAAGATCTGCCGGGCTGGGTAAGAGCGAGGGGCAGGGGAGGAGGAGCCTTGCAGAAGACATCTACGACGTAGGTACCTGACAAGGGTAACCATGCTACACGAAGCCCCACCCACTGAAAGATCCAAGTCATGGCAGGCGAGAGAGGGCAGACTGCAGCGCGTGGAAAGACCTCCCAGAAGGCCACCTGTGACGGCAAGCCAAGTACCGGCGAGCACTCGGAGCAAGGAAGCCCGAGGCAAGATGCATGAGGCCCGGCGGCTACGCCCAGGACAGGCGCGATCAATAGTACGGGCTAAGGCCGCACGAGAGCACCTAATCGAGCGGAGACGGGCACACATCCATAGATGCTTCTCAAGCAAATCTCAGGATGCCATCCTCCTGCTGTAATCAGCCTTGATGAAGCTGCAGCTGGAGGACTGCATCCAGTTCTAGGCTCCAGGACAAGCTTGAGAGGGGCCAGAGGAGAGCCATGTACATAATCAGAGGGCAAGAGAACAGGCCTTATGAAGAGAGGCTGAGAGCCATGGGACTCTTTAGCCTGGAAAAGTGCAGGCTCAGGGATGACCTGGTAGCAGCTTATAAGTACATAAGGGGTGTGCATCAGGATCTGCGGGAATACCTGTTCACCAAGGTGCCCCAAGGAATGACAAGGTCCAATGGTCACAAACTCCTCCAAGACCATTTTAGGCTGGACATAAGGAAAAACTTCTTTACTGTCTGAGCCCCCAAGGCCTGGAATAGACTCCCTCCAGAGGTGGTGCAAGCACCTACTCTGGATTCTTAAGAAACGGCTAGGTGCTTATCTTGCTGGGATCCTTTGACCATAGCTGACTTCCTGCCCCTGGGGCAGGGGGCTGGACTCAATAATCCTCCGGGTCCCTTGCAGCCCTAACGTCTATGAAATCTTTAATAGGACTCAACCTTCCCAGTCTAAGCCCCCTTTTTTCTCTCACTGGTTCCTGTAGCCTAGATCCACTGCACTGGACCTGACTTCTGGGTATCAGCCCTGTCCCAGTGCTCCTCAGGCACTAAGCCTGCTTCAGCTCTGGGCTCCCTGATCCCAAACGCAGCCCAGCTCCAGGCTCAATGCTCTCTCGGTATACCATGACCCTGCTCCCAGTTGGGCTCAAGGCAGTCACATGCCCCTAGGGCACTACTGGGACCTCCACACCACCCCTCAGTCCTGCCTGCAAACCACCAATTTAAACTATAACCAAAAGATAAGCCCCCTGGCTGTAACACAAACTAACTCTACATTGGGTTCAGACCTAAGCCCTAGCCCATAGGCTAGGCTGGACTTGATGATCTTCCAAGGTCCCTTCCAGCCCTAATGTCTATGAATCCTTCTACTTGGGGCTGTATTCCCTTGTAAACCAACAGCACCTTGCCAGTTTTTCCCCAGGCAGCTCTGCTATCAGCCAGGCTCTCCTCTGCAGCTTCCAGGTCAGGAGCTCTTTCCTCTGCAGCTTCCAGGGCCAGACTCCCTGCCCTGGCTCTGGCCCTGACTGAAGTTTCTCCCAGGCCCTGTCCCTTTCTGGTCAGGTGATTTCACTGGGTTAGCTACAGGTACCCTCTATTTAGGCTTACTATCCAGTCTCCATGGCGGCCCATCTATAGCCCTGCCTTGTTTTCTGTGCAGGGCTCCAGCCTGTAGTCCTACAGCCAAACAACTAGTACTGCAATAGGTTTCCAACTGCTCATGCAGGCATCGTCCTATTGTGCTACTGCAAAGCAACTAGCTCTGTAGTAAGCACTTATTGTTCCTGTTTCCCTAGGCCAGCTCTCCTGCAACTTTATCCCCCAGAGTCTGTCTTTGCTTGTAGCTCTTTCTGGGCTCTTTCTCCCTTAAAGTACCAGAGAGTCCCAGACTCTCTATTACAAAAGGGTCTGAGGTCCCTCCTTGAACCTCCTGATTCCTTGTCACCTTGCTCAGAGGTGCTGCCCCAGCACTACTCTGTCTGTCTGGGGCTGCAGAACTTCACTGCAAATATACTACTCTGAACATTGATGTTGACTGAAAGACCCAATGCAAGGCTGCTCTGACCAGGCCTCAGCACTCTTTACAAACATCACAGCCCCACAGTCCATGCCCCACCACTTCCAACAGCACTCTTGTGGGGGGGATAAGTTCCTCAACACACATCCTGGTTCCACTACCCCAGGGCACCAGCATGTCCCCTCAAGCTGGGAACCACACTGGGTAGCCCTTCCTCCTGGTAGCTGGGACAGGAAAAATATCAGTGCAACAGGTAGGGCCAGTCACTGGGGACTGCAAAGGCAATGCCAGTGCCCTCTGCCTGACAGTGTCCCTTGAACAGCCCTGACATTAGGTACCTTCTGTGGTGGGACAG